ATATATATAAAGGAAAAAGCTAAAATGTATTTCAAGAAATTGGAGTCTGTAACTAGACTTGGTGGAATAAAAGTTTAGGACGCTCGCAAGACATCCGGGTTCGATCCCCCGGCCAAGGTAATATTTTTTACAATAAAATTATTTACAAATTTTAATATGTAATTCAGCATTATGAATTTAACAATGTAATATACATTTTAGTGCACCCAATTAAATTCACTGTGATTGGTTTGTAATTTTGTTTAAATTACTTGAATTCATGATATGCATTTTCTAAGATTTTCCATAATCTTTCCTTTTTTTAATTTTTATTGCTTGGTAGTTCAAGTATTAATTAGTATTATTGTGAATTATTAATTATTAATATCGTAAATTTTAATATTTCTAGACTTTTACGTAAATAAAAATTACTTGATCAATTTAATCATTTATATATTGTAACAAAAATTATAAAAATTCTGAAAAAATGCGTATTATGAATTTCAGTAATTTAAACAAAATAACAAACCAGTTATTTTGATTGCGATATATAATTTTAATATTATTATTGTAAATGATTAAATATTAACATAATATAGTAGAGAGCGCCTAAGAATCGGTTGAAGTTGGAAGCTTCGAATAATATAATATTCTTGGTTCATGAATTTAATTAATTTCAAATGTGACTGTGCGTCGGACATTAAAACACAATCAATCTGAGATGTTAATAATCGCGAGCCGAAACGTTCGGACAATCAGATTAATTATTAATATTGTAAATTTTAATATGTCTATATAAATCTTCTCTACTTTAAGGAAAATTCGATTTTATTTGACTGAATCCTAATTTATTTGAAGGTCTTATTTTATAACTTCTAATTTAGCTCTTGATATTAAGCTCTAGCTGTATGTACAGCTCATCGATTATCACTTTAGTTTGGCACTGACCTGCACCTCCGACAGTTTCAATGCGTGCGCTATGTGCGAGCGTTCTGTTAGGCTCAGGTATTTCTTGGCGTGGAATTCGCGCTCCAGCTCGAGCAGCTGTTCCGAAGTGAACGCGGTACGTCGCCGACGAGCTTTGTTGCCACCGGCACCTGATGCTGATGAATTCTGTCCATTCTCTAAAGGCCTGCTAGGACTTGGGGCGGCATTGCCGGCACCGCTGACGACGCCGTCGGAAATGTCATGACTCTCGCCGGAACCCGCAGCTCCGCCACCCTCTTCGTCGCTTTCGGCTGATGCGCGACCGTTCTCAGATCCTGGAATGGAATAAATAATTGTATAAATAATTATATATTACATAAATAATTACGAAACACCTGTCAAATATATTCTTTTATTTATACATACATAATACCAGCTTGTAATATAATTAATAGAATAACATAAAAAACATACTTTTGACAACAAAATTATGTATTGCAAAAATAATTTACATTATATTTTGTTAGTAATATTCATTGTTGAATCGCTAATCACAAGGATAGATAATAAAGAATGTAAAAAATTTGCTTCTTAATTACTTCCATGATTAATCTATCACTGAAGTTTGTACAAGAGCAAATAATTTTGTATTCAGTATTTGAAATGTATAGTCGTCAAAACTGCACAATTCCAAGGATTGAAATCCACGACTAACTTTCGCGACATTAAGTCATCAACAGAGTTTATCGCTATCGAGAGAACATCGCCGCGGTATGTATAGCCTGGCGGCTATTTAATATGCGGAGCAGATTGGTCGTTCCTTCATAAAAGTTGCGTTCTTCGATCGTCGACAACGTTTTCCCGTTCGTAATTTCCCGTACAACGTTTTTTTTTTCCCCCTTTATTCGCGAGACAGTTGAGCACGGCATGCAATATGTACTGAGATACGAAACAAAGTTACCACGGAGTTTGATGACTCCGTCGGTTCATTATTTATTGAAAATTATTCCTACCGAGCACGGTTATAAGTTCCACTCGAATGGCTGGTGTTCGGCTGATTCGACGATCGACTGGACGGGAACGGAAATTTGCGTCAACGAATGTCCGCGACAGAAAGATTTATCGAAGATTACTTTTGGTATCAAAGAAGACTTTTATATAAAGAAAACTAATCGACAATTTTAAACATTTCGAGTTGAAAATATCGGTTTTCGAAATAATTTTAAATAAGACTATAATTTGTTCTCTGTAACCATTTCGAAATCGATTAATGTCACTGAGAAAAATAGGTTGGATTAAATAGTAATTCTGGTAGAAAATGGACGAATCAGAATTTTATAGTTAAATCTGCTAGAATTCTAGTTGAAATAGCTAGAATTCTGATTGATATAATTATTCTGGTAAAAATAAGAATTTTAGTAGATTTTATAGAAATGTATCAACCAGAATTCCGGAATTCCGGTTATCTCAACTAGAATTCTAATAAATAATTAACCAGAAAGTATCACGGTCTACGTTATTTATATAAATGCAACAAAATCAATGCTATTAGCGTGTTAAAATAACAACTGCAAACATGCTATTTGACAAAATATCATATAAGATCTAACCGAGATAAATTAACATAAATTAAAACTTATAGACGTGTAATACACATTTCTCTTAGAAATGATATAAATAGAATCGCATAAGTTTCTTCTCGCTCGCTGTATTTTCTCCGCAACCGCACGTGATCAACACAACTTTTCCCACCGCAACGTGGCCGGGTCGCATGATCAAGAGTTGATCGTTATTTGCGGGCGCATTATTTCCTGCTAAAGTTCGTTGTCAACGGTCAACTCGGCTATGGTCAGCCTGACTTATTCATCGGTCGCGATTCACGTCTTTCTTATCCGAAGTTCGCGATCTGACCGCGCGTTTATGGCAGCGCGCAACTTTCCTCCATACGCGCGGCGGCGGTTTGATGCACTCTCCAGTCGTTGATTTATTCAGAAGGTTTCGATTAGGCGAGCGAAACGCTTCCGCGAGCGTACACGGGCGTTGTCCCCTGCCTGTCGTCTTTACACTTCCCGCCGGAATCGAGAGTGTGGATCGATTCGCGAGAACGATGTCGTTACATCCTCGTTTAACGGATCTCGGTATGGCGGGGTTTTTAAGCCACACTTTTCTAGCGAAGAATAGAGTTATTGGAGCGAGTCTATAACCCGAAACTTAAACACGACATTGGAATGGTTTTGTTTGTTTCAGACCAATTTGACTTTCTTAGGTTGTGATCCACTTTACGCTGCAAATGCTTTAAAGCAGTCTCTGATTGATGAATTCGTAAAACTTTTTCTTTTCATTGGTCAACGAAGCATTTGCAGTGAATTGCACTCATAGTGAGTAGGTGAAAGCGACAAAAGATCGGTGAATAAGCATATGAGTCATAAAGAAAGGCTTCGTTTTTTCAATTGAGAAAGGAATTTCTAATGGAGAAATAAAGAATAAAATATATCCTGGATTCAATGAAATATGAATCCTAATTAATTCGACATAAAATTTAAATTGTATAAAAAATTTCTTTTACTAGTTCAAATGATTGATTGACATAGAATTGTAAAAGGGATATTGAATTTTAATTAAATGTATTAAAAGCGATTTATGCAACATTAAATAATTTTGCTGAATACTATATCAAATATAAAAAAATATCTATTGTGCTACATTAGAGGAGAATAATAATACATGCACAAAGTTAATCAATTTTTGAAAAGTAGAATAATTTGATCACTAAATCGATCACAAGTTGCAAATTTACCCGCCAATTACACGAACACGCAACAGATTAATTGGGTCGCGGCATCTTTATCGATTTCACCCTAAGAAAAGCTGCTGGTATCTGTGTTCAAAGTAATATTAAAATATTATATCGATTTGCCGTACACACACGTACACACATCTAACAATAATCGGTGAAAATAGTTGGCATGTTCCATAGCTCATGTTTTATTTAACCGCTAGCAAGTGGTAATTATTGAAAACTGGCAATGACGGGACAACCGGAAATCAAATCATTTAACGATCTTCATCACCGATTCATCACCAGTGAATCATCGGTCGTTCATGTCTAATTAATTTGCTTAATCTATTTGATTTTGCCGTTTCCATTTTATCAATTGCTTGTTCATCAGCTGATTTCCGACATTTTCTTCCTATTTGAGAATAAAAGAAAGAGGGAGAGAGAGAAAGAGAGAGAGAGAACAATTTTAATATTTAATACATATTAAACTTTTAACCCTTTGTGAATTATATAGAATTTTCATTTGGAGTTACTCCCTTTTATTTTGTGTATTGTTTGATGAATTTTTGAGAAATTTAGCTTATGGAATAATTTGATATTGTCTTATTCAAATGTGAGGTCAAAAATAAAAAATAAAAAATGATTGATTTCATATGGGAGATAGAATTTCAAAAAAATATAATTTGATTATCATAAAAATCGGATTTAAAGCGTTAATTGTAATGTAACAATAAGTTTCCAATTTCGCTTTATTTAAAGCTCAATAGTGCTAAATAAACAGCTAGTATACTGATTTCCAAACTGACTTTCAAACTCTGATTATAAACTCTGCAACACTAAATCCTCCTTCACAGAGGTTACTATCCTTTCGAAATTCGATATCTCCAGGTTACATTCAAACTCAGAGATATCAAGAACCTCTCTCTTAAAATCCGATTATTTTTTTTAATTTAAATTTTAAAATTCTAAATTAAAATTAAAGCGACTTCGAAAACTTTTAAGAAACAAGATCTTCCGTAAATTGTTTTGTTAAAAAGTTACGAGTTAAAATATAGCAATATATAATTATATAATATTTAGAAACAATTAGAATTGTGAATCTAATTGTGAATTGTAAAACTATTTTTGAAATTTTCTTTCTCTATGCTTAAAGTTTTTTAAATTCTTCAATCATAAATTATTAAATTTCTTAAATGGATAAATACAATTTTACTCTAAAAAATTCTCAGATATTGAAATTTTTATACTTTTTGACTCTTTGAAAGTAATAATTTTTTTTTATATAAAAATTATATTCTTTTTTTTTATATAAATTTTATTCTTTATTTTTCAAATTCAAAATTTAATTCAGATATTATGATTTTTATCATTAGTATTACTAATCTCTCTTTCAAGATTATCATTTCAAGATTCTTAGATCCTTACTATAAAACGGTTTTACGACATAATAAGTCTACAATAGTAAATATAGGTAATTTATAATGGTAAATACAATAACAGCGAAATTAATTAAATTATCTTGCTGCCATAACATTTCGCATAATGACGCGAGGTTTCGATCGATCGGCGGAATCGTGCCAATCTCGGTATCGTTGTTACCAAGAGCACTATACGTTTTTTTTCGCGGCAAGTACGGTGCGGTCCTTCACAAACAAGATGCGATCCTCCCATATCATGTCGGATGCGCCGCAGGATCTTCGTACTCGGGCAATGAATAACGAAAATTCACGAACTGGGGAAACTGCGAGAAAAGCGAAAAAAAGTTCGAGGGTCGAGTGCCATCGTTCGAGTTGCAAGTATAGGTAGCAAATAGTGAGGAAGCGATTTGTGCATTTACAGTAAAGTGCAATAACTCTCATTACACTGATTGTGAGAAAAAGATACATAAAAATTTATTTGTAAAGTATGATGTTTATTTGGCTGAAATAAATTTTTATTTAAATACGGAGAAGTAAAATTTTATTCTTGGCAAATAAACTATCTGTTTTATCCTTTGTAATTAATAAGACACAAAGGATAGAGATTTACAACTAATATATTTCACAGATAAACGTAGAATTATAAGTCTTCATACAATCAAAATTTATATATAACCAACAAATGTCGAAGAAAATATTATATGTAATATTTATATGCGAATATTTCGACTATTTTTTGTCTTACAATCAGGGTAGTTTGATTATAATTACAACTACTGTGTATTTTTTTTTAACCTTCTTATATTTTTCTTCAACAAGAATCTACAATGTTATAAATTGTAAATCAGCGTTAAAAAATTAAAGGAAAAAGATTGTGAAAAATATGAGACGGTTTATATGACATCAGATAAATATATAGTTTTATCTCGTTATATAGAACACTTTTATACAATTATATCTCCATACTTCATCCTTTTTTTGTTATTTTAGTACCTTGGTGATAAGGTTTCAATAGCCACGTGCGCTTCTAGCCGTGGAGGAAATACGTCCGGCTTATTAAGCGTTAAGAAGGCAGGCGAGATTCGCGACCTCGTTCTGGAATAATTTGCTCGATCGTGGCCCGATATAGCGCCCGGCG